GTAAGATTTTCCTTGCTGTCTTTATGCAAACAACGGTGTTATCTCTTGCTTAATGATTTCGCGCGATTGTGGAACGACGCTGCTGATAATCACAGTAGTAAGAACGAGAACAATTAATCTATTGCCGGGAGAAAATATAGGAAAAAGAAGAGCTAGAAGAGAAACACCACTGAGTGGCCAATGCAGAAGAAACAATTTAAAAAGTGAGGCTGGGAGTAGTGTAGAAAACCAGGAATTATTTCCTCCGTGTAGACACAGCGTGCAGGATGACTTAATGGTGAACTTTGAGTTTGATAAACATAATGTCAAGTCCTGGCTATCTTAATATTATATTAACTCTTAGTTTGCGGAAAAACACCTCAGACGGCGCACAAATTGTCCCCGTTGTTAACGATCATTTTGAAAAAAATCTACGAAACCAAGAAAATCCATCTTCTCAGTGGTAAAACTGTATGTTTATTATAAGGATAATGAATTTCTACTCAGTGCGGTATTATTTTCAGCACAAAGGCTAAATAGAAGTGGAGTTTGAGGAGAGTTTGTGGAGCTGAAAAATTGATTGATTAACAAATGTAGAATAAACTTCTGTGTATACTAAGGGTTAAAGAAGCAAAGTTTTGACTTTCTTACGAGCGAGATGTGCAGGGTCACTGTTTTCATCTACTTTGTACTCTATACATTCTGTACGATTACAAAACTATTTTATTATAATTATGATGAAACGATGATTTTTTCCCCTCATTTTGACAAGATTTATGACAATGACATTCAGACTTTGATCTTCAGAGCGCGCACAGGACACTTAAACACCAACAAGCACATTAATAGAATTAACCTCATGTGGGAACCCAAATTGCAGACACTTTGACTGCAACGAGGAGACTGTTGAACATCTTCTCCTTCACTACCCAAACCTGGCAGTTCTTCGACGCAGACTGCTACACACACCTACAGACTTACAAAGCCTGCTCTACTCTGGCGCTGACCAGATGACAAGGACATGTGGTTACTTGAGGGAGGCATTGCGCCGCCAAGAGCCAAATGCTTGCAGCTAAAGGGATTTGAAAACAACAACAACAACAATAACAACAACATGACAATGACAATGACAATCTTTATTCATGTCACAGAGACATTTTTAAAAACACAATGTGAGGTCTATTTTGTACAAGATACGTTCAACAAAACTTCAAAACTATATTGTCATCATTATTATGAACATTGTGCAGGGTGTGCATAACTACTTGATCTATTCCGTACTAGATTTATTCTGTAAAGTTACAAAAACTATAATCCCATTATATTATTATCCTGGATATTAAACAGAAAATACAAAGTGTAAGCAAACTTACAATTTCGTCAGCAGCTGGGCATTGGCTTGGATCGGGCTTATTTTCCAATCGCCTGACACCAACAAAGAAATAGCTGACACTATATTAGTTCAATGCCAAAGTCCTCCGTGAAAGAAAATGAGGGATTCAGAAGAAGAAGAAATGACTTATATTTATATTACAACAGAAGGATGCTTTGTCACGATATTTCTATCCTTATATTACAGCTCTTGGCGTCTTTACCACCCTTCACGTCCCCGTTTTTGTTGAGAGTTAGATGATGAAACGACAGACCTGAACGTGAGTAACAATAAACTCCACACTGGACTTCACCCAGACACAGTACGCCGTCATTACAAGAAACTGAAACAACGGACGCACCAGGCCTGTGTCAGGTAAAACTACAGCCACTCGAAACGTGTTATGGAATATGATTAAGTACGTTTGAGTTAATGTAAACAACCGGATATGTCGGGATTTTTTTCCTTCGGCAAATTCATATCCACGACATAATAATTTATCGTCACGATTTTCTGCACAGATTCTGAGTGATGTAATCCTTTCTCTGCGCAGAAGAATCACTGAAGCGAAGCACACGTGCATGTGCATAATGCCATGCATATAATGTTTTGAACGTCGTTATTCTTTTTTTTTCTTTTCTTTTTGTTTGTTTGTTTGTTGTTGTTGTTGTTTGATTGTTTGGTTTTTTTTGTTTGTTTGTTTGTTTTTTTTTTGGGGGGGGGGGTTGTAAATGTAGGTGAAATACAACCCTATCGACACAATTTAAATAACTTAGGAGGCGGCCTTCGACCCTGCCTATCAGATACCAACACGGGCAGAAAAGGATAAGGCATCTTAGCAGAACAAAAAAGACCGAGGGAGGTACTCAATATTATGAATTCTCCCCACATGGGGGAATCGAACTAGGTTCTCCTGTGTGCATGCAACTGGCGCGTTACTACTAAGACACACACGCAGATGAACGTTCTGTCTACGGTTCGATTTCAGTGGCATTTTTGGAGTCGGGAACTGCATCATGTCAGTTCCGTTGTTTCTTTCCCCCTCGCTTTATAGTAATATACATTTGCCTGTTCTGAATAAAAGTTACTGCTCCCCCCTCCCCCCCCCACCTCGTACAACCAAAGTTACTGGGTTTTTATTCTTTCCTTTTATCCCTACTATCTGTTTTTAAAAGTATCTGTCTATCTGCCTGCTTGTCTGCCAGCCTGCCTGTCTATCTGTCAGTCTGTCTGCTTGCCTGCCTGCTTGCCTGCCTGTCTGTCTGTCAGTTTGTCTGTCTGTCTAATTTCAGACGTACAATAATTCTCATTAAAAAGTAAACGACTGAAAGTAAAAATGGGCATGAAGGTAGCCTATTCGTATAAAACATAAGTGTCCTTCCTTCTAAATGAGAAAATTGGAGTCTGGGGAGGCGTTAACCTCATTAGAAGCAAAACCAAACCAAACCAAACCAAACCAATCAAAATCCCCAGACAATGCAGAACAGTTTTTTGTTCTTTGGGTCAACAAACACGAGCGTGTGGGGAACATTGGCCAGGAACACTGTAGGTGTCAAGGTCACCAGCTGCAGAGTAAGACGACCACCAGGAATTATACAACGGACGAGAGAGAGAGAGAGAGAGAGAGAGAGAGAGAGAGAGAGAGAGAGAAAGAGAGAGAGAGAGAGAGAAAGAGAGAGAGAG